AATCCCCGCACTTGTTCAAACAGAACGGTTAAGTAAAGATAACGATAAAAATAACTATCCAGTGTTCTTTTCATTCAACCATACAATAAACTAGACTAGTTTTATCCTGCTACTTCACCTGCATTTAGTTCATATCCTAGAGTTTGATGATAAATATCTATGAGACTAACTTATCTGAGTTGTGACTGACCCTGAATTAAACGATTCGAAATCTGTAATCGTTTCATTTGACAATGAAACCACCGCAACAAAATGTTAGCAAAATGGTTTTATTTTTACAAATTTCTAAGCATTTGCTTTTTACGAACCAAGGTTAGGTTAATATAATTACTTTTAAGACATTTAAAACCTAATCATTTATAAAATTTAACTAATGAATTTATAAAGAAAATTCGTATAGATGATTATTAATTACTCAAAACAATGGCGTTGCGTACAAACGATTTAGTGAAATTATGCCATAGAATACAAGGTCGTATGTAATTATTTAGTAAACTTGTGATTTCAAAGATTCGATATATAAAACCTATTAACGGATTATTTGAAAATATTGTTAAAACCATATATTTTTTATAATTTTTAGTACATCAGAAATATGTCCACAGTCTCATGTTTGTAACGAAACAAAACAATAATATAAACACATCATGTTTGTTTGTTCGTGTTTACGTAAACATACGAACAATGTCGGAATGCTCTTTTGTATCATTTGTATCCGTACATTAAATTTAATTTTCATTCATACGAACCATCGAATAACATCTGAATTATTACAAGCAACTCAATAAGTCCTAATTATTGTATACAATATTGTCAGTTAGATTTGGATGATGACGAAAAGTGAAAACAGTGTCATTTATCTAATTAGAATTTAATTCTAGTAGATTATGAAATCTTTTTTAATGACAGTTACAATTAGAATGATTTTAATTGCTTTGTCATTATAAAGAAGTTTGCTCTGATTGTAATAAATTTTTCCTTTAAATTTTACATATTTCTAAGTTTTCATACGTGTTTTATTATTGTTATTTGTTCCTTTATCATATGTTAGATATGGAACACTGGAATACTGGAACGTTGACTTTTTTGTCGTTGGTCCTTTTGTTTTAATGGAATGTATCCTTACGCATACTTGTAATTCTGTTAACAACTTTCTAAAACACTTACCAACAGTTACTTATCTCTTATCTATGTGTCCTCAAATATCTGTGTTAAGGCTCCCTATAAAAGTTAACCGTTGTTAAGTAAAGTACAATGAACTAGCGCGAGTGAGACGTTTTGAGATTTAAGTGGAAATCTATTAAAATTATCACAGTTTAAAGGAGTTTGGTGTTAGCTTACTTTTAACTTTACTTTCTTTTTAGTATACACAAAGGTATAAAAGTTATAAAAACACTTGCAAGGAATAAATATAGTGACTTAAAGATATGAGCTGTTAAATACCTATATAGTGTCAGTAAATATGAGTAATTCTTTATTAATTTTTACTAAGCACAGAAGGGTAAAGTAAATATTCTTTGACTCAAGCTATAACAAGGGATATTTAAATATTATTGACACGTGGTTACAATCGGACATGTGAAGATCGAAAGTAAGACAAGGAAACAAATAGACGTTTATTTTAGTTCGAAGAAACACAGAGTAATCATTAGGTAGAGCGCATTATCACTTTGTCACATGTGGTGAAATAATAAAAAAAACCATTTTTTTGTTAACCAATAAAAAAATTACTATTAATAAAACATAGAATTTATAAGTTTTTAAGTGTTTGCGGTAATGAGTAGTGGTAATAATAGAATATAAAAATATATCAATAAAGTCGTTATGAAACTATAAAAACAATATTAACAAGAATCACTGTAATTTTGATATCTGTCTATTACTCTGTGATTGAAGCTATCAAGTCAACTACAGTACACTAGTTGTATTCATAGTATATAGATGTACGGAGCAATAATTAGATTTGAATAGTTCAAAGTTGAAATGACGTTTGAAAACTGAATACTTTTTCCCACAAGCGGTATTTCTTTTGGATATCAATTTCTTTATCAATTATTTAAATCTGAACCCATTTATTTATTATACGCCCGATCAAATTAGTTTTTCTATGCATATGTATTGAGTGATTTTTTTGTTTTGATTACTTCTTGTATCAAAAGATATTCTTAAATATGTTCTATTTGTTCTTAAGAAGAATATAACATAAATATTATATTTAATTGGACATTCATTTAATAATTTGAGAATAAAAATATAAGAATGATCTTCCATTGTATAACTATCGTTAAGAATATAGATGGTTATATTCTAAAGACGTTTCATCTATATGATTTAAATAGCGATGAAAAAGGTATTGTTATTCAATAATATCGGTCATAGTCACTTTTCATTCTAAACATATATGACAAAATAAAACTGGAATAGAATATAACACGAGGATAATAAACTTTAATTTATCAGAAATTTACTAATAATCGAAATATTTCCTGTTAGAACAAACGTTGGGCGAATAGCCGGCGCAAAGATTCCTGGCTTTACAGGCATATAATTTTCGCTAATGGCGTATTAACGCTTATCGCCAATAAATTACGGAATATCGTTGTCGATGTGATGGTAATTGAACCATCTCGACGTCGTATTGTTTGTTTATGTGTTCACACATATAACACAGCACCGTGTTCAAACATTCTTCACCTTGCGGAATATTGCGGAGCTAGCTGGGAATGATAAGGCGAACAGAAACGTGACATCAACTACAGTGTAATATCCTTCGTTCGTGTTGGTAACTCACGTTCGCTTATCTAAAGAAATTCAAGGAGCATTATGTACTCATAATTCTCAATTATGTTATGAAATATAATGAGGAAAACTGCATTCAAAATCATCTGTCACGTGTAAGTTGGAACCGAGTGTGAGTTGTGAGCGATCAAACATCGAACCTGGCACATGGTATGGGGTTGGGTTCGATGGTGGTAGCCAGTAGGCGGCGCTTATAGGCGGATAGTTGCCGGACCTCCCGGTCTTGCTGCGGGCGCCCGCCTCGCCGCGCATCCTTCGTACACACACTGTCACCACATTGCACGTCCGCGTCTACATTCAATCGCGGTCGCGACACTACTGACGCGATCCTACCAATAGGTGCGCGGGCGCTGACGGACGATCACTCATACCGTGTCAGACGGTGTCACCTGCCCTCCTCCTCCCCCCTTCCCCAGTCAACCCCCCACCTCAGCCCCCTCCCCCTAATGAGCTTCTGCTTCAGGTCGTTTTTCACATGCTGACACCGAGCCCGCACTGTGTTTGTTCAAGGGCCTTCACAGTGTTTAAAGAAACTGTGTCACATTCACGTGATGTGTTGTAGTCAGCCTTCGAGACTATGGTTTCATAAATTACATTGAATGTATGATATTTTGGAACTTTATTACAGTGGTAATAGAATTTTAACAAGCTATGCTAATTGTATAATAATTGCTACATTATTACATGCACATTTTAGATTTCTCCTTAATATTTATCACCATTAACCATTTAATTTGTTTGTTCCTTTTCATTCTTGGCATTCATTGTGAGGATTGTTTCAACGAATAACAAATATATAAAATACTAAATATACTGTTTCTTAGACAATTTACTGCACTCGTAAAATTATCATAAATTTTTGTAAAATATTACGTATGTAATAACAATCAGAGCTGTTGTAAACTAACGGTAATTTGTTTAAGTCTTCACACAGTTAAGTATTACGACCGTGACTGTGTGTGTCGTTTTCCATATAGCGAGTGCAGTCTCACCACGATTGAACTGTTTAATATTCGTCACTCGACACACTGTAGAGACACACACTCAGCTTGAATAAACGTGATCACAAAATTAAAAGACGTTTAAACGTTTACTGTGAAAGTCGTCAATAATCCATTTATTGTTTTTCATTTCATTACAACTACATAAATACTTCTCAGTTTCTACTAATAAATTCTCCGTTGAAGTCTTATAATTTTGTTTATGTTAATAAAAATCTTTAGGATTGGGTCGCTGAACTAAATATTCCTTTTGGGAACAGTTTTAATTGGAGAAAATTGTCAATTATCGAAGCTGTTACAATATTGTATGCCGTTTCGATTATTTTCTCCATCTAACACATTTAACTAAACGCATACGACTGACTCTGCAGATAAGTAGGACTGGACCGGGTCTCAGGCAAACTTAGACGAAACTTAGTCGACAGTTAGTTGCGACTAGAGATATTGTCTACCTTGCTTTGTGTAACTTTAGTGTATCGTACCTTGGCTTAATAGTTGAAGAGCTTTAAAGCGAGCCAAGCACTTTTGCGGGACACATAACCTCACAAAGGAATAATCTTGAATCTAAAGATTCTTTGTCTCATCCAACGCTTTTAAATCATACACATTTGTCCAACATTCTTTGCGTAAAGAAAAACTCGTGATGATGAAAAGAAATGTTTCCAACGTTTTGAAATATTAAAAAATGTTAGTGTCAAATTTGTTTACTTTTATGAATTAAAATCGTACATCCATTCGTTTACTGTTAATTAAATTTATAACAAATTGTATGAGATGATTTTATAAATATTGAATAAAACTTATTAATAAAAAATAAGCGCATTAATAATTAATTAACCTTTCATCTACATGAGTAAAATAATAAAATGTAAAAAGATTATTTCAGTTCAACAGAACGAAATACAATTACTTCTATATACATTTATTTTAATTTGACTCTATCTCTATACATTACCCTTAATTTGTGAAAACACAAAATATTCGCAGATTGTTCATTATTATATACAAAAGAAAAAGACAGAACTAGAGGCTACAAGAATATTCAGATATATATATATATATATATATATATATATATATATATATATATATATATATATATATATATATATATATATATATATATATATATATATATATATATATATATATATATATATATATGTATATGTATACATTATGTCAAAGATATATACTCACCATTTCTATTTTCACTGTCAGCTGGTTTCATTTGAATCGGATGATGCATCTGTAAAGAGAAATTCAACGGTTAAATATATAATACAAACATATCTTTTTAATATAGTAAAATGAAATTAATTTCCATTACAAACAGTTATTTGCCGTGTGGTACGGCAGTCGGAGGTTACACGGCCAGTATCAACTGAACCCGATACTAATGCGTGAGTCAGGTTATTGGAGCTCCTAACAATTCAGGTATTAAAGGTTTATACTATTTTAAATTCAATGCTATGAAACTTTAGAATTTTTCTGTTAATTATGAAAAGTAATCGTTTAGAGCTCCAATATATATTAATATATAATTTAAATCAAATTTCATTGATTTGAAAAGACATATAATTTCATATTCCGTAATGAGTTTCTAGAGATAGGATTCTTGTGATAGAAAAGATTATATGACAAAATTCCGTTAACAAGACTTTTAAATTTTTATAAACCCATTAAAAGAACAAACAAATGAATAATTCAAACGTTTACATTTAATGCACGATGACATAATTGATGAGGTCCGCATTAAACAATATTATTTGTCGGTGACGTATTCAAACAAACAGAAACGGCTATTTAAATTATTTGTAAACATATCCTGTGTCAATGTGATTTATAAACTATTTTGACGACGCATATCATTGTACGATGTGTTTGATGCCAGATATGTATCATGTTCTTCAATCGTACATAATAACAGTTTCTTTTAAAGCAATCTCAAATGATTTTCATCGATTCTGACAGCGAAATGACTCTCGTATTTTAAATAACAATACGATATGGAGGTAAACCGCATTCATATAGTGGAAATCAATAAACTATTAAGAGTAGATCGCAACCTCAGATCCTTTGAGTCGAGATGCAAAAGTGAAACGATTTTATTCTCGGCAAGAAACTGCCACTTGCCAATAGCACAAGTAAAAATAAACTTACTAGCGATTGACATGTTATCTGGAGACAATGTGATTTCTATTAAAAATATAAACTACTCGGAATTTGATTTTTGTAGTTACAAGGACATATATTTATAATTAAAATGTTACACTATTTTTTAATTTTTAAGTAATTTTTATTGATTTATTATTTCAGACTACACTAAAGAAATAAATAGAGAAATCAAAAAGATATTTTTTAATTAATTATTCGACGATTTGTCAAATATTGTATTAAAATTGTCGTATAGTATAGAAGAAAATGTGAAGTTCAAAGTTTTAAAAAGTACGGGGAAGAAGTTATACGCAAAGTTAATATTAAAATAATCTTAATATTATGTTTGGGGGGAGGAATTAAAAAAAAAAATGTCAATGTAATCGTCGATTCCCCGTGCGATCATTAGTTCTGAGACATCTTCGAATAAAGAGAAAATGTTAATGTTAAATAAAAAAAACATACTAAAAGCTAAATCAACAACCAGTCTCAACATTAAGTAACATACTTGAGGTAAAATATTCTTCACAAAATTTAAGATATTTTCGAGCATTAAAATGATTTAAAAATTAAAATGATTTAAAAATGAGGAAGCTTAGAATATGTTTTTTACTCCGGTACGGCAAATTTTACCAACAACAGTCAATTGAAAAATCTCCATTTATCGAGGTTTCTCTTTACTCCTTAAAATTTTTCATTACGGTAAATGTACATATACAAAAAATATACATTTCTTATTATTGAACAGTTTTACCCTCTAAAGATTGATAAATCGAAGGCGTCGTGTAAGATTTTACTCTCCTATAAACATATACTGTTACTAGCAAAATGCATCGTATTCTATTGGAAATAGAGTTCCGAATAGACTGAAAGTTGAGAGCCTTACAAATATTTCAACAATTCTTATCACAAGTTATTTAGGTTCATACATCTTTATTTCAGTTTGAAGGAAGTCATAAAACCAATAATTGTGAAAATACACTACAGGCACGACAATTGTAGCTGAGTAACTCGGTACATACAATGTGCTGTTATTAATACAAACATTGAACCAACGTCACATAACTGTGGAATTGAAACACTATGAATCACGCGCGAATCACCGAGATCTCGCAGAGCCCTTATCTAATTAGGCGCAGACAATCATCAATCAGGTCCGTAGTACGGACAAACAGTGTACAAACTGAACAATTTGTCACGTCGCCCTAATCAGATTTGCCTTGAGCTTTCCATTACACCGTCTTTACGCCAATCTGTATTGTATCTAGATCGCAGATTAAGTTTTCGATGTAAACAAAATGTTTTATATAAAATTATATAAATATTAATGATAGAAATACGTAAACTTAAGTTCAATGTATGATATGATTTGAAATGTACACGGTTGTAACAGATAGGTATTTACAAGCTATTAATAAACTGGCTACATTTCTAGGTCATTGGAATTAGACACTCTGTTGGTGGCACCTCAACACAATGTATGTAATTTTATTAAGACCAGCCGGTAAGTAAACAACATTCTGCACATTGTTAATTTTATAAAACAATGTAAATTGCTAAAATATTTCTTATGTGGATCGGTTGTATTTCCAATATTTCTGACTACGAAAAAATTCTTGAACGCTTTAATATATTAAAATAAAAGAATATTTAACTTTAGGTTTATAATCGTATAAATCGTTCAATGAAGATTCATTCATAATTTGAAGACGAAATATATATTTCGTCAGTTAAGATATTTTATCGGTATAACAATATCGTGTAATGAACATAGCAAATAAAGACTGTAAGATCAAACATAGTACTTCTGTTAATCGGTGTGAGAGGTACTTAAAACGAGATACGCTGAGTAATCCAACTGTAATTAACACAAACTAAACAAAGTCGTCTTGTAATTAGTAATTTAAGAGTATCTGTAATACTGTCACGAACCAGCGACTCATGAAAATGAAACTGAAGACATCGCCGTAATCTCATTGCAATCGATGCCGGGGGATCGTTTGTAAAGTATTTACTGAAAGCACTATTACATGAGAACATTCATACAATATTAGTGTGAATGTCATTCAATTATTGCTAAACGGTTTAGAGAGATTAGTTCAATTATATATAATGTGTCTGAAAATAATTTGAAAATGAAGCTCACAGAGATACATTTGGTACGATAGTTAACAATAGAAACGATTATAGTTCATTTATGTCTTTTGAATTATTTATATCATTAAAATATAATATTTTAATAAGTATTAATATATTTTTAATTGTTCTGTAAGTCGCCGACGTATTATTCATACTCAATAATTTCTTTCTAATTTTTATTATTATTCAAATATTGTAGTTCGTTAATAAAATAGTTTTATTGTCTTGCACAACTATTGACAGACGTTCGCAACTAATGTGGGTATCTGATTACATATGACATGTTGATGTAGCGAGTGAGAGTTTAAAAATAAATCACGCATGATCTGAGCCAAGAGCGACGGGCTCATTAGCGGGGTGGCAAATTAATTTATAGACGTTCACATACAAATGCGGATTACTATGAGTTATATTGTTAAAGAATATCGTTTATTTACTCGCATCCGATGATTCATTAGCATTGAATTTTCGGAAATATGATTGTATACATAAATTGAGGTATGATAAACTTTCTGAAACTATATGTCGATAACGACGTAAACTTTCACTAGGCGCTCAATGATATCAATGTCAAAGACACGTTATCGTTAGGTAAGATTTATTAATGTTTATGATGTAACTAACACAAAAACCTTGATAGTTTTCGTTAGCTCGAAACTCATAGTAAGGAAACGGATTAATACAAATAAATGTTAACAAACGTGACCTATAATACATACATATACATTTGGTAACCAGTAATGTTGTACTGGAGCGGTCACAGCAAGCGGTCAAAGTGTGTATCGATTTTGCATTAACCGATTGTAAAGGCCATTCAAGGTGAATAAAACCGTTACATTAGAAGAGAATCAAAGGGCTTTTAGGCTTATTACGGCTAAGGGGACACTTAAAAAATGCCCTTCTTTCCACAGGGGGAAAGATACGACGGAAGATAATTGTAAGTACAGCATTGTTTCAATTGCTCAGACTAAAAGGTATTATGTTTGGTTTATTTAAGCTTATTGACTGTTCCCTTTTGCATACAAAATTCACTTGTTAAATACATATAAAAATATATTTTTTATATTGAACCTAAAATCTTTTTATGAATGTGATATTTTAAAATATTTTTTAGTCATCATATTCACTGTGGGTAAGTATTAAATGATTTGACCATAATAAAGTGTGTGCTGCGTAAATTAAACTAAAATGGAAACGAAAAAACAAATCTGGTTAACGTAAGGAGTTCAATTTTGTTAGTAAAAAAAAACAATACACTAATTTGTAGATCCAAAACATAGTTTTAATCAAAAGTTTTACTTTATAAGATTGTCTTTTATACAACGGCGTCCTTGATTTGTATTTAGGTAACAATAATAATAATCAATTGATTTGAAAGTAATCTTTATTATTGCTTTTTGAAACGAGACAGATAGTTTAAAAGAAATACGTTATATTTTTTAATATTCTATTATACCATTAATATACTTCACTAAAACATCCTATAATAGGTCTTATAAAACCATCGCTACTTAGTCTATTTGATTTCCTACATTACAGAAACGAATAGGTTACCATACTTTGCATAAAATTAATTAATTAAGTCAGCGGTTGAGAATTTATACAGCTTTCTGCTTTCGATGCACTTTCATGCAACGATGAAGATGTCAGAAAAGATACGCATATTTATATATTGAAATATCATCTGAAGCCCCTTGCTTGGTAAATGAGGCACCGTAGAAACTTATGCAAATTTTCTTCGTGAGCTTTCAAAGAGAGTCAGTGGATTGAACAAACAAATTTCTGTGGTGCTTCAAGCTGAAGTAAAACGTGTTATTATACCATAGACATTGAAAGACGTTTTTTAAACTCTACTTTTTGTTTTAGTGTGGCCGATTATGACCTACATACGTCTTTTGTACGAAATTTTATGGAGACGTTATTAGGAAGCGAAAAAAACTTAGAAACATTCTG